TCATTAAGCGTACCTTTTTCACACCTCTTTGTGTAAAGGCAACTAATGACATTTTAATTTAAGGTTAGTGCTGAAAAGTAAAAAGTTATGCATAAATAACGGTGTTTTAATAACTATTTACGCAGATTCATAACTGTAAACTTAAACAGGTAAGGAAGGTCCAAGTTCAGGTGCAGCCGAACATTTTCTACTCTTGCACCATGCAAGAGTCAAAGCCATGGAAATTCTTTGAGATGTAAAACGTCAAGCAATACATCGGAATCTAAACGATTTTATATATATATATATACATATTTAAACATACTCATATAACTTACACACTGACCAACATATTCGGCATTAGGTTTGTTAGAAGAACGAACGATTTTATCTGTTATTCCATTTGGTCAGAAGTTGGCATATTTTAACGGATTTAGTAGTGAATCCCGTTATATTAATTACCTCTTGATTTGTGAATGTGTTAGGGCACTTTATATGTTTTCGGTTAATGGCGTTCTGTGCGCTTGGCAGTGGTCATCTACGAACTCTTACTTTTTTTACTAAGGAACGCGCTTACCGACTTTCATCAAGCTACATACATATGTATATCAATTTTTACTCAAGTTACAGTTGCACGGACGAAGGAGCGAGCAGGTGGATATACATATATACGCTATATCTTTCTCGATTAGTTTTACGTACAACCGTTAAGTGAACAAAACTATAATACTCCGTGGCATATAAGATATGAAGAGCAACGGCAATAAACGAGAAAAACGGAAATCTCAAGCATAATTTTTGTTTTTATGTATATAACTACGTACACACAGGGTGTGTATAACTACGTACACACAGAGGTGGTGACCTCTTCGTCTATTCCAAAGCTGCTTTTGACAGCACGAAAAGCAGCTACCCTTATGCCGCGACATCTGAACTGACGTTGAGCAAAACCAAAATACCGAGGTTTCAGACAAGGCGACTCCCTATCGTGCGACTTCTTCAACACCCGCGCCGTTAGTTCAGCTTTCTCCAGAATGGTTAAGAAAGCAAAGCAAATGGGTTCGGCAGCGAACGAGGACAAGACGAAATATCTCATAATCGAACAAACAATCATCGCATTTGCGACTTGACTCGCACCTCGCTTTTGATGGTCAAACATTGAGGTCGTTGATGAAATCGTTTACCTTGGAACCATTACCACCATAAACAACAATATCAACCATGAAATCTAACGCTGGACTGTGTTGACAATTGAAAAGTAAAGTCCTCTCTAGAGGAATAAATACCAAACTCTACAAGTCCCTCATCCTTGTTGTCATCATTGGAAGATTCGAAAAGTCCCAACTTATGTCAATCCATCAACATGAAAGTGAACTCAGCACACTAAGAGGGAATCACTTAGTGAGCATTCAGCCTCCTGGTAATTTATTTGACAACCTGCTTTAGCATCACACGCCGTGTGATCGAAGTTAGTACTTGAATACCGGAAGTAGTTATTAAAGCACTGTCATCTGTGCATAAATACAGCCCTTTTTAGCAGTAACCCTAAATTAAAATATTATTAGTTGTATTAATGACCGGAGGTGTTAATAAAGTACGCTAATACCCTTACGTTTTCCAAAATTTCGAACAGTTAGAAGGCGTTTCTTACTTGCAACAACAAATATTGCAATTCTCGCAAAAATCCTATAAAAGAACGCTTTCTGAAGCGCTAGAAAAGAGTAAGTGACTTGAAAGATCTGAGTTTCGTGAAATGATTCCACAAAGGGAACGAAATATCGGTAAAAGCGAGCGCTGCGCCAATCCAAACGGTTGCATATCGAACGAAAATCGTTGCGATCTATTCCGATATGTGCGATGGCTTTTGTATGTAACTGCGATACGTCCAATACCGTTTGAAGAATTTTTGCCGACCCGCTTTCATCGTTACAGTGTTCTACTTAATTTGATTCTGGACATATTCCTCGATTTAATGTTGCTCCATATGTTAGTGCTCTACCTTTGTACTATTTACATCAATTATGAAAATGGCGATTTAGACTTTCTAATAAGTGTCGGCATACAGGCGTTGTTGTACTTTTGGGTTACTCTGGTAAAGTTTATTTTTCGACGTGTGTACCCCGACCTTACCAATGGAATTTTGGATTGCGTAAATGAAGAATATAAAGTTCATTCGGCTGTCGGTAAGTGGTAGTAGTGTGAAATGTAAATTTATGTTTAGAGAAGAGAGTGATTTCCGTGGGAAAAAAAAATAAATAGATTTTTAATTTTCGATATGCCGAAGAACGTCTGATATACGAATTTGCACATGATAGAATCGATTTTGGCAACTCAATTTAAAGTAAAGAATTTCGAAGCAAAATTTATACACTAATTGTGGTCAATAGCAACGATATCTTTTCGAAAAATATCTTAATATAGTTTTCATTTTTAACGAAATATTTTAAATTTCAAAGGAAGAAATACATTCAGGTATTGTCAAACCTTTGCTGAAAAAGTTCGATCTGGGTCAAAGCATATTTGGTATATTTTTCATTTGCATGATAGGTCTTAGACTCACGTAATTTCAATACTGCATTTATCTTTTAACGAACGAACTCAAATGCTACAAAGGGATTAGAAACTTAACCAATGAGACGAAATTTTAAGTTTATGAGGGCAATGAAAAGGGACTCGAGGATGCCGTAAGGTTTGAAGCTGGAATCTTTGGTACATTTATATGCAAAACTGATGCCGTTGCAGTCAAGGGAGAAATCTCTAGAGCCATGATTAATGACTTTTTCGTGCCTGAATTGGAGGATGTTGATGTGGACGATTTTTGCTTCGAATAACATGGCGTTACAGGTTTGCCCAAACAGTTAATTAATTTGAGGAAACTTTTGATGAACGCATTATATCGCGTCGTGGGCCTGTGGAGTAGCCTCTCAGATAGTGCGCTTTTACTTTTTTTTGGGTGATATGATCCGCGGCAAGAGAATACTTGGCTCGTTATTGCTGATATTCTCACAACAGCCGATTCTACGCACCGGAATGGACACGGATTTCACCCGGCCAAGGGCTATTATTTCGGTGCCCTAACCTTGTTTAGAGCGGTAAGTTTTAGTCTAAGCTTGTTGTTATTGAAGCAAGGCCTTGCAGCAGGGTTAAACCGTATCCTCCTGCCTCGTACTGGCATTGAGTCCAACCCGGGCCTGTAGGAATTTTTCTGCTGCATTTGCGCTATAAGGCTCCATCCAAACTCCACAGATGTAATACAAGCAATGGACCGAGTCATCTTAAGACCTGCTCAGGACTTTTTTCTTCTTCTTTACTGGCGTAGACACCGCTTACGCGAATGGTCGAAAATTATACCTCGCGGATGGGATTTATTGGAGCCAGCCACGTTGGTTTTATTATTTTTTAGGTGCATTCCTCTTACTTAAATCGGGTATTCACGCAACTTTATACAATTTTAGAATTACAATTCACTATATTATTACCAAAAAATACCCCTCAGAGTTGCATCAAATACCACACAGATTGACCGAGATGTTTCGTATAAAGCCAAGTAGAATTAAGTATTTATATTTGGGGCGAAGAGAAATAATAATGTGATTTTCCACGGCACGGTTGGACTGATATATACGGTATTAATCAGCCGCAAGTTCGAAAATATTTGGGTACATTACTTATGGAAGGTATTGGTATAAACGATCGACACAACTTTAATTTTGGTAGCGGAATATTTTTCAACAAACTCTGATACATGCAATCCTTTACTCGATCACATTTTTCTTTTTTCTTTTTTTTTTTTTAGGATTTTCTTACGTCACCATGAAAGTGTGCTTGGAAAAGGTCAATAACGGCATAATAATATTAGCTGTCGGCTGTAACTCAGCTATAGTATTTCAATTCTTTATACCAATTATCTACAGAAGCCGAACGCTGCCGCTGGTCTGCTGGTATCCTGTGGACTATAAGGTTCAAATTAAACTCTCTTAAAGAAATAAATGTATAAATATTAATATAACTTTCAGGCACCTTTCATTTATGAAATAGCCTACTTTTTTCAAACCGTGGCGCAAGTACAACTATCGGCTTTATTTATGGTTAGCTGCGCCTACTTCTTATCACTTTGTTACTTACTCTCCGGACAATTCGATATTCTGAACTGCAGTTTGAAGAATATAGTGGCAACGACCTACATTTATATGGGTGCAAGCAAAAGTGAATTAATGTAAATATTAACTTAATTTAGAGGTTATGTCCTAAATAGACCCAGCTTTAGAACACGAGTGATTTTGGAAATATGGTAGCTCTTATTTAATGACCATAAACCAAAATTTAACATAAAATATATATAATAACAACCTTATACTGAGAGAACCTCACAACTGATTTGTGAGGAAAACCATATGAGATTTGCTTTCAGAGATCACAGATTTGTGAGGAAGTTGTAAGCTTTTAAACTTCTGAATTTCCATATGGGTAACCCCAGTTAATTTGAAAAACYCACAATGGTGAGAGTTAGAATTTTTGTGATGGGATGTTATTAGGGCTSTTAAGTTTATAAAATGTTATCAATTATATTATATAAGGGAGATCTTAAAATTATCCAAATTAATTCCTATTGCGTAATATTTTTCATCTTAACAGTTTATTCGACTTTTGAAACATGTTGTGTAATCGAACTCTGTCCATTTTTTGTATAAAAACAATACTGCGTGTGTATATCTAGAGTTCCATAAAAGTATAACTGACAAACAAGAGATTTGTGTCTTTTCTAACTTTAAAGTTTTTTATTTTTAATATTTTCTTTAAATCGGCTCATCAAGAGAATTACGGGATAAAGAACGGATGCCAAATGAGGAGATCAATGAGTATTATGTTACGGACGAATTACCTTTCGATTTGGATTGCTTATCTCACGTACTAAATTCAACTGATACAGCGAGGCCTCGTAGCTTTCGAGAAGCCTTTAAATACGCTTTAGGGCCTTGTGTCGAACATCATATTTTTTTAATGGATGTTTTGCGTAAAGTGGAGAGACTATTTAATTTTATGTGGTTGGTGAAAACGTTTGAGGTCACGCTGTTTCTTTGCATGGCCGCCTTTAATATAGTCAAGGTAAGTTATCAAATATGAACGAGCTTTAATTAATATATACATACTTATTGCTTTTCATGTTTCCCTCTAATTGCCTTCGGATTAGTTATCGGAGGGCAAAACTTTTCTGAAATTATTTTCAATAGGGCATTATTTGTGTTTGGGCCTGAGTGAATTATTTATGATTTGCTATGCCAGCGAGATAATATATACAGCAAGTCAACGATGCGGTGAGGCTCTATTACGTAGTCCTTGGTACTTGCATCTCCGTGAGGTACGCGCTGATTATCTCTTATTTTTGACGAGCGCTCAAAAAACTTTCGAATTCACGGCTGGCAAACTTTATCCGTTACGATTGGAAAAGTTTCGTGAGGTAAACAGCTTATTCTTAGCACAATCCATAGCTATATAATATCTTTGTTACCTTAGTTCAACACGTTTTCAAGACTTTTTACAACGTCTTTCTTAATTTACTTTAGAAATGTAACTTACTTTGCGTTCTAAAAAGACATCGTTTATAATTTTTATTGCAGATTATCACAACATCGTTTTCATTCTTCACTTTGCTGCGGAACATGGATAAGGAGGGATGAAAGTTTAATCTCATTAAGGCTCACGGAAGAACTACAAGCTCTACTATATTTTATCTAATATTTTCCTTTATAAATATCTATTAAGCACCGTAGTCAGCATTTCGTATTTAGAAGTACTCAAGAAAGCACCGAACAGTTTTACTCTCATCACACTGAATATTAATTAAATAATTCGATTATTCGATTTTGCTTCACACTTCCATTATTTTTCAATCAGTGCTGCACTCTCGGACATATTGTTCATATTGAACCATTATAGCATATAGCTTCTATTCAAACTGACCAATCAAAATCGAGACAATCAAACAACGTGGAGTGATCTATCCATCTAAGATTACGTTTTAGACAAACAGACCTGTTCGACGGATATAAAAAGGTTGGATTATCGTGAGGGCTGATTTTATAAACTCTTTGAAATAACCAAAATGGTGGGCCATTATTTTACTCCTATTTTCTACGCATTGTTTTATAGTATAGCATACTAAGAGTGTTTATAACTATTTGTTAGCCAATAGTAATATGTTTGTATGTATTTGAATTATAGTGCTGCAATTTAGTAAATATTTACTAATTATAATATTTTCCCCTCTCTTTGCTAAACAAACACATGCTCTTGACATTTAAGGGGGGGACATTTATTACAAAATTTGTAATAAATATAGAGACAGAAAACACCGTTATTTTGGGAATATCTGTTAAAAACGAACCGATTTGAAGAAGATCATCCAGTCTTCCTTCCTCTCCACGAAACATCCTTCAATGCCAGATGAGTCGACGTAACCGGAAGCAACACTATAGCCTGAATCAAAATTATATAGGGCATGTTTGCTGTCACATTTAAAATAACAAGAAATTCTATTTTTTAGAACTAAAATATGCTAATTAGTTGATCGGTTGTTTGGGATTTGGTATGCTTACAACTTATCATCCAGCAGTTGCCTCACCTTGGTATTACCTACCAAAATCAAAGCTATACAATCCAGTCAGATCATCGCATTTTCGACCATGATAGGATATCCCTTTATATCTTCCGTGCATGTTCTCTGCTAAGAGAGTATCTGCGGGGTAGATTTCGACGAAAGTTTGAAGGAGGTATGCTTTCCACGTAGATCAGCAGGACATTTATAAATTACACGGACGACAATCTACATTTTACAGATCTTATAATGCAAGAAGAGCTTGTTTCAACATTGGAAGTCACTCGCCTAGCCATTTCAAAGTGACTACATGCGCTGAGTATGATTCAGAAACAAAACTTTTAAAATCTACCCGGATACGTGTAAATGGGTAGTCCTACTCCACCCTTTATATTCTCCAGATATTGCACTGTCTATTTATTATAGTACTATCAGAACCCCTACCTAAAGTGCGAAAATTAATGAAATCGCAACATAACTCCGCTCACTCCCCATATGACGGTACTGTTAAAAACTATCAAATTTTATCTCCGAGATAGTAAGGGAGACGATGTGAAAACTTGGGCGTGGCACCGCCTATATGCAATCACGACAGCAGTGCTGCAAAATTGTCAAAGTACCACGTTCTGTGTGAGTTTCTGACAACATATTTGAAGGATAATTGGAGGATGTAGTCATGTGTAGAAGTTCGCGCATTTTTACATACGGCTCAAGCAGCTCTTGACTTCCGGTCCTGCACCAAGAATCCTTTGGGTAGCTAAAGAACATCCGTTTGGAGGCGATCTAAAGTGAGAAGAAAATGTTTCTTCGTTTTACAGGGTTGTGCACTAGGGTGGGTCGATTCCGGACGTTTTTCGATTCGGTATTTCTAACAACTAAGCAACTTTTTGTTTTGAGATCGGATTGCATCTTCAACCCCAACTCCGGCTTTGAAATTTTGGAAATTCGCGTAAAATGGTGAAATTGTCTACCCAGCGCCTGAAATACGCATCTCATGGCAAAATGTATAAAACAAAAGTTCTTTGTCATGTCAATTGCTACTGAAATGGTATATGTGATCATAGCCGTAGTACGAACCGTTCCCGAGATACGAGCGAAAATGCGGCGCGCCACAGCGCAAGGTGAAAATCGACTTGCGGCCACACTTCTTGACGTTGATTTCGCCGAGTGCTACCACTCACATTCATTCACCTACGCCAAAGGTCACGTTCGGACTGGTCTCCACATAAATATTTTTTCATCGAGTTCCTTCACTCTTGTCTTTGATTTCGCCGAGTGCTATCACTTATATTCTCACAACAGAACAGAGAACTCAGAACGTCTGTATCTAAATTTATCTGTATCTATATTAATTTGTGTTTGGCATATAACCCAACATGTTCTTTTGTGTTATCAGTTTGAAAGATTTCGTATAGGGCGACTCCGAGGCGACAACTATGAACCTAGAAGTAAAGAGGTTACAGAAATAGTTGCAAAAAATGTTGGAAATACTTTCAAAAAGTCATCTATTCCGATAGTTTCACACACCAGAGTTGTACAAATGCTCACCACATACCATAAGAAATTTCTGACTCTTAAAGAAATGTTTTTAAGGAACCCAATAGGTTTGAGTCTAAAAGAGACGACTTTGTTTCTTCTGCCGGAAAATTATTTGACATCGCTGCTTGTAAATGCATTTATTTTTCTTCTTGCACTTGTCCAAAGGAAAGGAAAGTTCCTATCAATGAACAACCATTTCTCTTGGACCAGAGAACCCGAAGAATTGGTCGAATTGGAAGTGTCGATCTCCCTGAAATAAAAAAGATTACAAAGAAAAATGAACGTAAAGAAAAGCTTTCAAAACGAAATTCAGCATCAACACTTACCAAAAAAGTATCAGCTAGAACACGTGGCCGTTCAGATCAGTCAGACTCTCATACAGACGACAACAATGTAGGTGCGTCGCACATGGATTCTTCCAAAAACGATGCTGATGATGAATTTTCTCTTCCATCCTCTAAAACCAAACAAAACACACTAGTATWAGAACACACTGCTTTAGCTGCCCAAAGATTTGGAGTAAGTGATAGAGYAGCGGCCTTGATTGTTTCATCTGCTTTTCTGGATGCCAAAAAAAAGCAGGTTTGATAACAGAGGATCAGGCTAGCTTTGTTGTCTAGAGTTGTCGGTGCTGATGGCACCAACACGAACACAGGTTGGAAAGGTGGAATCATTCGGAAACTATACGAAAGTAAAGGTAGGCCATTACAGTGAGTTGTTTGCCTTCTACATTTCAACGAACTTCCATTTCGTGCTCTTTTCGAACACATAGATGGTGTCTCAAAGAGTCTAAATACATTCTCTGGCGACACAGGTAAACTGCTCCCTGATTGTGAGAAGTTGCCTGTTGTCAAATTTGAAAGTTTTTCATCCTGCCAATTACCTTCTGAGGTTATTAATCCGACCCAACTTAGCACAGACCAATCTTATCTCTATAAAATATCAGAAGCTGTTATTTCCGATCAATGTTCCTCAGATTTAGCGTCGATGCATCCAGGTAACATGTGCAAATCTCGCTAGCTCACCTGTGCAAATAGAATTCTGAGATTATACATTTCTACCGACAAACCAACAAAGGAAATAAAGATTTTGGTCAAGTACATACTTACAGTTTACTCACTTTTGTGGTTCTCAATAAGATTCAAGAGTTCAATCAAATATGCTTACATACCTGCTAAACTGGGCAAGCTTGTCGATTCATCCATTCAACAGAATGCTTTCTTTGCTCTTCCAGAAAGTTGACCCTTGACCGTCTTCTGGTAGCCAGAGAAGCAGAGTCTGACACTGTAAATGGAAGGGTTAGATGTAATAAAGTGCCAAAATTTAATTTCAAAGCTAATAATTATTACGATATGATTAACTGGAAGACGCTTGACTGTTCCACCAGTTCTTTGTTCAGTTTCAAACGAAGAACTCATAAAAGGGCTGTCGTGTGACACTGCAGAGGTTTGGAAATTTAGTGAATTCCCCTCTCACACCGTGGCAGTCGAGAGAACCGTCAAACTGGTGCCAGAGGCGACAGAGTGTTTTTCACCCGTACTACACTATCGGTAGTATTTCTTATAATATTTTTGCTGGGCTTGGTTGTTGTAGCTTAAGCTTTTTTTTTTGCGGGTGAGGAGGTGGAAGATGCCTTCCGCATCATGCATTACCGCATTTGCATTACATTAGGGTGGCGTTACATTTTTCTCACTGAGAGATTTACATCTGCGCACCTGCGTTCAGGTCCCGCTTTTTACTGCGAAGCAAGATTGCTGCGGAATTCCCATTTTGCTTCACTATCCAACATGACGCTGACTAAATTGTCCGCGTTTATTGGGTCAAACAGGTTTTCTACGGCGGTGCGTTCTCGTTGACAACGCACACATTCAAAGAAGGTGTGTTCAGCGTCGTATTCTGTCGCGTCGTTACATAGGTATGACGGCTCTTCGACTGTTCCCATTCGGTGGAGGTACTTTTTGAAGCATCCGTGACCGGATAAAAGCTGGGTTGTGTAAAAATGGACTTCTCCGAATTTACGGCTTGTCCATAAGTCTAGATTTTTTATTAGCCTGGCCGGTTTTCCTTTTTAAGCGCGTCTGCCCAGATCTCGGCCCCGTATAGTAAGACACTGATTGTCTAAGTATAGTAAGACGTTGGCCATTAATCGGCTTAGCTGAGAGGTGGTCTTTGCTGCCTTTCCTGTGGCGTGCTGGATTTGTACCCAGAAGGTTAGTCTGGGGTCCAGTCTTACGCCTAGGCAGTTTACTGCTCTTTGTGTCGTAAGAATATCCGTAGTTGTGTGCATGCTTATTTAGAGAGCTGGAGGTTGTGTGTGTCGACCCATGTTTGCGTCCGTATCATGACCTAATTCAGCTTTCTTCCCGCTATTTCTGTATCTCTTACTGTGATCAAATATGATTCCTCTGGCATTTCTAGTTTTAATATAGCGTCTTAGCTAATGTTCCATACGGAGTGGAGGTCTTCCTCGACCTCTGCTTCCCACTGCGGATATAGCGTCGAATACTTTCCGAGCTGGAGTGTTTTCGTCCATTCGGACAACAC